CTAAAAATAACAATCAAATCGAAAAAAAAATATTATAAAATATACAATTTCAAATTCAATCAAAACCCGTATTAAAATACATATCAAATATTACCAACGATAAAGAATACTAAAAATTTCCCCTAATTAAATTATATTAAATCAAAATCTCGGTTTAAAATATACACGACGATTAAAAAAGGCAGAACTAATGTATATACCATGAATCGCATTTTTGGATATTCTATGGTATTCTGTTTCCTATCGCTCAAATATCTTTAATTACCACAATTAAAAATTATTTTTTACAAATAATGGGATTGGACCTTAGTTTTTTTAAGTCTGGGGCACGTTTCCTAACAGGGGGAAGGGATTGTCAAACCATGAATCTCCACCTAGCCGCATTTCAAGTTGTAACCCTTCAACTATCCTTAAACCTTGGTGGCTAACCCCATGTCAAATTTGGAATCCTTGGAAATTCAATCCTTTCAGAATCAAACCTTTTTTTGTTCCTTCAATTTCTTCAAAGGTAGGCATTGACATCTCAGGATCTTTGTCCAAGGCTTCGACGGTGTATTTCTTCGTAGCCCGCAAGGAAGATTTCATCGGGTCGGATCTGTACATATCTGTACTATCAATTCTGTCGTGCAGGGGCAAAGGGCTCAAGGAAGTAAAGGCTCATGGTTTGTCTGAGAATGTTGGGACAGCACCTAGGGATCCTTGCTGGAAAGCCGCCCTTGCATCTATCTCTCACGGCCCAGAGGCTGAATATCTTTGGGCATGGGCAATGCACGGCCCAAAGGCCAGGTTCACTTTGGCCCTATGCCAATCTCCATACCTACAGCGAATCTTTCTGGGGATGATATTGGTGTCGAATCTCCATGACCAGCTGGTTCCTCTAATGAAAAATTAGGAATGTGGATCAAACTTGCCTATCCTCAAATTGAACGGGCAAAAAGACTCAAACGCTACAGGCTCAGAACTAAACATGACTCATGTCGGCTCTGAAAAAAATTCGACCCATAGCCGTTTTGAAAACAACCGCGCCTCACAGCTGCCAGATCAGTCCCATCATGCCGCAGCTGGCACTGCAACCTGAGATGCCGTCCCTGATCTGCAGAATGCCACACCATTTCACATGTTAATAGGAATTCTTATCATATTTGGTCTATAATATATATATATATATATGGGGGTTGTTCAAAATTACTTCATCCACAATAGACCCTATCGCCGGCCAATCGCAGTCCAACCGCGGTCCCAGTAATGCCAACCGCGGGACCTTTTTTTGAACATATCTCCTCCAAAAAGAAAGGAAAGAGAAAGGGAAACACAAGAGAGACGGAAGGGAATCTTTTACGTTTGCACGAACGGCACAGGCACGGTTATCCCTCTGACGTTTTATCAGAGGAGCTGGATTCGGAAGAGGACGAACTTGAACTTTCACTTGCCGTGGCGAGGCTCTTCTTGTGGTTCCACCTCTCCCTCCGCCTGAGCAATTTGTTTGCCTGCTTCCGGGCTGTTCTGGCCCACTTCTCTTCCAAGTTGGGAGGCAGCATCCGTCTACTTTTGTGATCTTCAAACCTTTTCATGATGGTGTCGCTGTCTCCGTGTGCAGGCTTCTTCTTGTTCCACCGAGTGTTGGAGAAGTAGCCGCGTCGCCATTCGCGATCAGTCAGGTCTTCCCAGTCTATCTTGGGGTACGATTTTCGTTGGCCTTGCCCGAATGCGTCAACAAAAGTGTGATCCTCGAGCGATGTATTCCGAATCACCAGACGTGGATTTCCTGGTTGCAGTAGCAAACAATAGGTTTTGGAGATTTGGAATTCTGGCTGTGGAAAAATATACCGGCCCAGCGGCTTTGTCTCTGGCTCCCACCGTACCACTACAAAATGCGTTCGTTGTTGCGTTGCTCTGCTGGCATAGGTGCGCAAAACCTTCTCCATTTCATCAATGGTGGCAATGCGGCTTCCAGCTTTCTTCAAAAAATCGCGAAGCCATCCTTCAATTTGTCCGAATAAACCATCCACCTGGCCCTTTCCATGCTTTTCACCGAAAAAGCAGAGACGGACAGTCATTACATGGATCATTACATGGAATGGGGTTGTATGTTCACTACTGATTCAGTACATTATAAAATATCAGGATGAACATTAATCGGCCTAAAACCGTTACCATTCATTATAGTCACATATGTAAAATGCTTAATCAATAGTGAGTGTGTGCCTAAGGGTGGCAACGGCATTTCCCAAAATAGCGGCGCCCGAAAGCTGTGCATAGTAATCTATTTTGGTAGGTGAGCCATAGGTTTTGGGGCGCCTCTATTTCAGGAAATGCCTGCATAATGATTGCTATGGAATGGTCTGTGGCTGCTGGTGGTGGTGTCATGGCAATTCCAAGACTACATGTCTCCCCATTCAACTTTAGGATCCTCCAAGCTTCCCTCGAAATCTGCCGTCCCGGGCTACTTCACACACCACGCACTGGCCCAAGACCCGGCGGGCAGGTCCGAAGTTCATGCGGCCATGCACCTTGCGCTCACTGAATCCCAAAGCCTCCCTGGAGCACTTGGGCTGCTCGGGGGTTTGTGGATCTTCATGTTCCGGCGCAGCCACTTGGAGGGCGACTTCATCAGCCACGGCTGCACGAGGTGCTGGCTCTACTGCGCCCGGACGAGCATCACCTGGTTCTGACTTGAGAATGGTGAATCCTGCTTTGGTCAAAGCAGATGGGCCACGAGGCGTCCATGCCCATGTCACTGTCCCCGATGAGTCTTGCACAAGATACGCCTTATGGTGTGCTGCCACATCGCACTTGCACGTCAAGGCTGAGCGAGTAGCATCACCCGGACAGCCTTTCACACCACATTTGGAAGGCGCCACAGGAGCCATTAGAACCTAAAAGTCAGTGAACCGTCAAGTGGCCAAATGGCTGCGGATGAGCATGCATTGAGCTTCACTACACCCATGGCAAATTTCAACAACAACGATATCTAACATAATATCCAGTCTATGCATTCCAACATGGGTAATCGCCGTCCAATCGCCGGCCAATCGCGATGCAGCATTTTCCAATCGCGCTGCTCTAAGCAAACATCTGCCTACATAATTTATTATGTGGGTTTCCGGACGACTCCCATATACATCGCCAAAGTATCAAGATTGGGATACTTAGAATAGGACAAAGTATTGGAACATACTATCCATTACTATCCATACTGGTTGGTGAATAGGTTTTCCCGCAATGGGTTCTGATAAATTATAAATAGTATATACCCATCATTAGATAGTATGCAGGGTTTCCCATCATGGCATGTGCAATGTTACAGTATTGGATAGTAGAATAGAAGTCCATGCAATCCTCTTATCAAGTTATGAAAATTATTGCATATGATGCTTATGTTGATTGCATAGATTTTGAATTTGATAGACATATGGACTTCGACCAACCGTAGATCCAAGACATTTTCGCAAAATGGGCAACTGCCCTTTGTTTGGTCCAACAAGAGAAAAACAAATGGATAAAAATGATCGGAATAATAATATGATAACCATATCATACCATATCATCATAGTGGATAAATTACCATTATTACATATTATTAACCATTTTTAATGACAGGAATCCCTCCATGTTTTTCTCCACGAAAAAGCTCGGAAAAAATCGTCCCAATGAAGTCGACAGGTGACGGTGCCACCAATGTGTCTGCGCTGGGCGCTAGAAAGAGGATGTGTGATCTCGGCATGGTCAAGTGGGCTTGGGTCATTGGTGTCCAAACATGGAAAAATATCGGTTAATAGATATGTATATATGGGTTATATATATATATATGTTATATGATGTTATATGTGATATCTGGGGTTGACCCAAACTTGGATAAGTTTGGATGATATGATGAAAATATATCATCCAAAATGGTCCCCAACATAGACCCCAAGAATAGCAACTTGTTTTTTTTCCAAACCTCGACGAAAAACAGGATCTTGGATCTTGGCAGCAACAAAACTGCAGTTGGATGGTACGGTTTTCAATGAGATTTGATATTTGGGTGATGTCGAGTTGAAAAAGATTGCTGAAAAATCATCCAAATATTAGGAAAACCTGAAATCAATATCAATACAAGGGCTGAAAACTTCCCCCGGATAGGCAATTTTGTCAGGGGCGAATTGCCAATCAAACTGAAGGGTCGAGACATTGGGTCCATGTGATTTTTCGGAAAACATTTCATCAAATCTGGGATTGTCCCGTCCCTTTTCCCGAACAAAAAACAACTCTGGTCTGGCGTGTCGTTTCACGTGGGGCAATACCAAAAAACCCGTGCTTCCTTCCTCTTAACACCATGAAATGTTTGATTTGGGAGATTATCCAATTGCTATTCATCCATCTAAAACCATGTCATGCTGTCTTTGACGTGAAATTTGATCATCTAGTCATTGACCTTGCACGAAATAATCTCAACGAACTGTCACCTATCATCCCCAATGCTGTTTCGCAAATCATCACATTCTGATTTGAGGAAGCTATCCAACTGGTATCGAACCCTTTACAACTATAAATATCTATCTCATATGGTCACATCTTATAGCATATCATCCCCCAAGTTATTGATCTTGAATTTCAATACCCGGTGGATTATGGTGGATCATAATATTGTATTCCCTTTAATCATCAACCAACCAGGGTGTTGCAGTCTGCTCAGCCCATCCCCACATTGTCGCTCGTTTCGTTCAGGGCCAGACTGCCGCGCACCTGTCAGAGGTGGAAGTGATTTAACATAGCAATTGAACATCACCCATTTATAGATGATTTTCCCATTGAAACACCATTTATCTACGTATATTTATCTACGATTTTCAATTGCCACGTTTGATCCCCGAAGGGTGCCTAGATTGAAGGTCCTCAACTTCTCTGGAAATTACAAACTTCACTCACCTGAGCAGCGTTCAAGATCTGGAGAATCATCCCTTGATACCAGCGTTGAGAACGGTATTCCCCCGATGGATTAATCGACCAATGGAGATCTTGCTGGAGACAGCAAGATGGCCATTGGCAAAGCTGCATCCATTAAGTCCCTCCATGGCACCTAAGCTGGGTGATTTCCAGCCCCTTTCATCATGAAGCACGAAACTAGCTCGAGAAATGAATTTCAAAGCTGAGTTGGTGCATGAAATTTATGGGATATTGATGGGATATTGATGGGTTTGGATTCTACCCATATTTTTGAAGCAGCGGATAACTCCACATCCACCGAGGCCAGGCCTTCTAAAGATCGACAGTCAAACTTCATCTCCGGGAAAGATGTCGATGATCTGGGTGTGCTGAAAATAGAGCAGTGTACCCCCAATTTAGGGCAATTCTTGTGGGGAAATCATTATCAACCCTCAATATGTGGGTACTATGTTTTGAGACAAACCCATCTTGTTTCTTCATGTTTCTTCAGCCACTCAACCACACAATAGTCGAAAAAATGATGGTGTCTTCAAGCATTTGTTTGTTTGGGGGGTAGCCTACCTCAGCCATGTGATGAACATCATATCCTGCAAGAGCAAGCCTCCCATATCTTTCTAGCAGAGATAACTCTTTCACTTGTTGTTATTTTTGGAAAATCCATTGAAATAAATAGCAAACAGGGTCTTCCAATGCACCATGTTTCAGGCCATCTCGATCAAGAGAGCAAGAAAAATCATCATAGAGCCCCGGTTGCAATCGTGCTATTCCTTTTTTGCGGTCTAGTATAATACGGTAGGCACCATCATAAATTAAAAACTGACCCTTGGGGTTGATTTTACATCACCCCATTACTAGTGGGTCATATAGGGTATACCGGTATACCCAAAAATCCCTTGCCATGATATTAAAACTGTATTAAATAACCCCCCCACAACCAAAAATTAGAGAGATCTGATATGATCTACTAAACAACTGTTTTTAGGATTCTTTAGAGTGTGACTTCTACTATTAGACGGGAAGGGACTACAAAAATGAGTGAAGTTGCTCCATTTTCCATATTTCACCCAAGAATTGCTGAGGAAGGGAGTCTTGAAAATCAGTGTTTTTTTGAAAATCCATCGCGTATCTGGGTAAATTACAATATTTCACTAACCTGAATTAAGGCCGTTTTGGAATGATTTCCCTTATTAACCATGATTTCCAGTGAGGGAGGACAGTGAGGTCGTGATGAAATTTACCCAGACGTATCCCTGACGTAGCTCCCATTTCGGCCTCCCGCCCCTTCAAGCTGCTTCAAGCTGAGCTTGCCACCGCTCCTCATCGGCCATACACACACGGTGTTGGACCGCCTCAGGGGTCGTTCATGTCAACAAAACAATGGATTTAACCCAGCAAAGGTTGGGAAAGTTCACCATGAAAAATTGCCAATTGGGAGTTTCAACATGTTTCAACCAGCAGATTTCTGGATGTTTGAGCAATACGTGGCTCTTACCTGCAGAATCTGCAGATGTTTTCCCCACAGAAAATGGATGTTGGCAGCAAACATTAGGACGTTCACCAACAAAATGTTGGCTTCATAATGCGTTTTGCTGGTTTGAACGCGGCATTAAAGCTGAGAAATCAAGCAATAAAATAATCCTTGCGTGGCACCCTGAGCGATTGTTCATGAAGGAACTGCTGGTTAATCTTGGATCCGGAAGCACGTAGCACTGGACTACCTCCACTTTGGAATACGATGTTCCCATTCAAAAAAGTGATGATTTTTTGAAACTAGGGTAGCCATGGGTAGCCGGATATTCAGTGGTTGATTAATCATTTTCCAGTGGTGTATTAATAGTTCCCCTTAAAATGGCCATTTCGGTGGGTATATCGTATATACACCAAATTTTGACGCTTAAAACTTAAAACCAAGTTTTCATGGCCCATGGCTAAATGTTCATTCAATTATCATTTAATAGGGTTGAATCCAAGTTCTTTTGGTTGTAGTATTGTAGTATACACACAATTGTACATCTCTGTATCTACTTACATATGCGCACATATGTGCAGACAGAATTCAATACTCTTTCCACTTCAATGAACAAAACAACAGGAGATGGTTGCAGTATACCTCTTCCCCACGCCTTCACCATGCCATTGGTCAACCTTTCCAAGCTATCGCCCGCCTCAGGGAAGGGGTGATTCATGGCTGGTGACATATAGGAATATGGGGGTTTCTTAAAATGGAAATACCCCAAAATGCATGGTTTACAATGAAAAATCCTATCAAATTGATGATTTGGGGGTACCCCCTATTTCAGGAAACCTCCATATATATATATATATATACGTATATTATATTCCGTAATATATAGCAATAATAAGCAATAATAGTAGCACTATCTAATAGTGGTAATATAATAACAATAATAATAGTGATGACGATAAGACCTTGATCAGAGCAGTACATAGATAGCAGTACATGTAATGATGTATAGTAATTACCAACTTCACTCATCTTACCCTCTGGTAACCTAAGCTAACTATGGAACATCTCCATTTTCAATGGGTAGTCATCCACTATAAATCACCATTTTCAATAGCAAAGTGTTAGTCATTACCAGAGGGTTGAGCATCCCAAACACCTGGCGAAATGTCTTGGATCTCATTCGATTTTTCCTTCGATTTCAGGGTTCCATTTTTGGCTACTTGATCTTAGAGAATTACAAACAAATCACCCTTACCAAGGATCTATTAGGATTCTATTATATATTAATATATATTAAGATTATTAATATATTACCCTCTGGTTATGACTAACATAGCCATGGTATAGATGGCCCATAAAAATAGATGGTTTACCTATCAAAAATTGTGGATCTTTCCATGGCTATGTTAAATAACCAGAGGGTATATAGTTCATCACGTGATTGTTGGACGATTCCCATCCAAATCATGTCATTTTGTCACTACACAAGTGCCAGCTGATCTCGAACTTGGCTATCATCACCACCCCACAAAGGATTGCCCCAGGCCACCACGGATCCTTCTTTGAGGATCGCAGCAAAGGCGCAATCTGTGGCCTGAATCTGCAGGACACTTCTCAATTGGTCTTGGACACTGGAGCTGTCACCACCAGCTTCGGGCCAGCCCCACGTAATCACTGATCCATCTGACAGGATCGCAGCTGAATGCTTTGATTCTGAGTAGCCTTTTTCAGTAGCCTGAATCTGTTGCACATTCTTCAGCTGGTGGTGGACTTCTGAACTGTCTCCGCCCTGTAATGGATCGCCCCATGTAACGACAAGTCCATCTGCCAGTATGGCAGCAAATGCATGCTTTGTGCTTTGAATCTGCCACACGTTCTGCAGCTGGTCCTGGACAGCTGAACTGTCACCACCATGAGCTGAGAAACCCCAAGTAACCACTGATCCATCTTCCAGGATCGCAGCAAACGCACTGCACGTGGCCTGAATCTGCCGCACGTTCCTCAGTTCATCCTGGACCTCCTCACTGCTACCGCCTGAATCTGGATCGCCCCAGGTAACTACAGATCCATCTGCCAAGATCGCAGCAAATGCGCCAGATGTTGCCTGAAGCTGCTGCACATTGGTGAGCTGATCCTGCACCTGGGAGCTGTCACCGCCCGACTCTGGATTACCCCACGTGACAACTGATCCATCTGCAAGGATTGCAGCAAATGCCAGATATGAAGCCTGCACTTGCTGTACATTCCTAAGCTGATCCTGCACCTCCGGACTGATGCCACGATGGCATAGATCGCCCCAAGTAACTACAGATCCATCTGCCAGAATCGCAGCGAATGCACTATGAGTGGCCTGAATCTGCTGTACATTACGCAGCTGATCCTGTACTGCAGAGATATCTCCACCAGCATGTTGGTCACCCCAAGCAATCACCGCTCCATCCGCCAGAATTGCCGCAAATGCGTAGTCATTGGCCCTAACCTGCTTGACTTTTTTGAGCTGCCCATCCTGGGATTTTCTCAAGATGGCCCAACAACATTAAAATATATTAAATCTTCCCAAACATTCCCTAACGGTAGATTATGGTAGATTCCTCACATTAAGTGGGTGTTCCCACTCAAAAATCATCAAATCTAAGCATCAACTTCCGAGCTCGTGGCGCCACAGCCTGCACTGCCCCAGGTGACGATCCCATCAGCTCCGGGGCACCACAGTGCGAAGGCAGCCCTGGTGGCCGTGAGCCGCGCCTCGCGGCAGATAGCCGTGAGGTGATCGCCATCTCGGAGCCCCAGGTCTTCCAAGGACTGCTGGGGATCTTCCAAGACCTGGGGATGGGTCAAAGCCCTGGTACCGTGCCGTGAACCCCAAGTCATAGCTGGGATTTATGGATGTTCATCCCACTATAGTAATGTATCTATAGGTATTGACCCATACCCACCTGACCCTCCGCAGTGATGAGGCTTAAGAAGCCCTTCTGGAAGGATTTCTGGGCCAAAATTCTCAGGTCGCCAACTTTGGAAAAAGATGGAAGGGAAACACGGTCGCTGCGGCCACTGGGCCGAGTGATGTCAATGTGAAGCATCCCAAATCGCGATGTGGAACCGAGGCTGGAATCAGGGCCGGAGATGTTTGATTGACACGGAAAATAGAGACTTCAAGTTGATGCATCCATGTATAGCTAGTAATCAGCTGCAAACATACCTTTATGGATGCTGAATTTGATCATATCTTATTCAGTCTTGTTTTCTCATGCCCCAACAACCTCGCAATCTCGAGCCAAATGCACCCAGACCAGGTTTTTTTTGTCAGAAACGTAACCAACAAACCTTGGTGGGCACCTCAGATATTGAAAATGAAATCATTGCAGCGGGAGACAAGGCCATCTGGGGCTGGGCTGATGTTGAATACTCGAAACAAGTGGATTGTTTTGGAACTCGAATATTTTGCAAACACTCCACTTCTTTGGTGGTTGGATAGTTTGGTCATAGCAGTTTTTTCCACAGAATCTTGGATGTTTCACCAAACTTGGCGCGTTTTCCATCGTTTTCCTCCCAAAAAGTCAGCCCTCTTTCGATGATCATCCACTGGTCACCCCGGGATGCCAGGCCATTAGCAGGGCGCAACCTCGGGGACTGTCCAGCCTCAGGTTGCAGATCGCCAGTGGAGTCATTGATTTAGCATTGTTAAACTATTCACATCTATAAACCATCTAACTTCAAGGGTAGTGTAGCCTGGTGGCTGAATAAATGCTCCACGTTTCTCAAAATTTTGGGGCTGATCAATTGGGGAGTTCAGAAACATGGACATACGATTACTATGGAAATAGGAGTAATTAATGAAGATGATTCCCGAAACCATCTGTAGACATACAAATAAAGGAAACAGGAAACCCATCAAACATGGAGATCTCAAGGTACAATCCCAAACCAATGGATTTGTTACAGCAAACCACCTACTCCCTGGCAATTTTAAGGGGATCTCCAATTTTAAGGCGGACATTTTAAGGGGAAACCTGGTGGTGTGACCCCATGAGGTCTTGGACAGTAATCATTGGGGCCATTGGGAGAAAGGTTGGGTCAGGAATTGGGAAGCCCTGGTGGGTTTTCTTGCTACTACTACTACTACTACTACTACTACTACTACACATTCTTGAATGCCCTAGATGACGAGTACTGCACGCTGGTCCTCAAACAGATGGACGATGGATACAAAAGGAAGCTAGGATGCGTTTTTCCTTTTGAAATTAAATTCCCTCCAAATTCCCCTGATTAGTTTCAACATTGTCAAGGTCACAAATTCCCTTCAAAAGAAGACTTGGGCTGAATTGGCTGGGGATGGATCAAACCCTATATTAAAAATAACAAACATATGTAAAACATACTAAAATACAATCTTTAATGGTCATAAATAAATATCCACAAATCCCTTCTTGTTCCAATTTGGTGTTCACCAGGCTCTCCTCCCAAAGTCCCACCGTGGCTTCGGACGACAGCCAGGTGTCATCTCGCAAGATCTGTGCAGCGGGGTAAACCCTTCCCCTTTGGGAATAATATAGGTTTAATTTAAGTGGGTTTAAATTGTAGAATAATCGGATTAATGGGGGAATATATAGCTATCCATGATTAGATAATTATCCATAAGAGTCAGCGAAAAATAGGTTTTGAATGGTTTAAACTGGTTTGACTTAAAATACGCTACCCAAACTTCTGATGGTAAATCATGGTGCATTGTACATCAGCGTTTTCCCTATCAAGTTGATCATTGTGCGGGAAAAACCCAAAGGTGACACGTAGTGTCATATAACCTACTTGTGGGAGCCACAAACCACTGATGCTCTGAAATTTTGTCCTGACCTTTCTACCGTTCCTGTCAATTTCTTCAAGCACTTTGCTTTTCGTGTGAGATGCCACTTTCCTGTCTCAAACTGGTGGAACTTGACATGTGCACAGACACCGTCGAGCGGGATGAGCGCTTGTCCCGATGATTCGGATCAGAATCAAAAATCACAATCTTCGGATCCAAATGCATCGAAATTTGGAAACAACGGAGTGGCCACTGGTTGAATCAACTCTTTCTAAGTAACAATGTCATTTGGATCATCATATCATTGGAGAATGGAACATAACTACCTTCAAAACAAACTTGAACCGCCAACCAAATGAACCAGATGTATGTTGCTTGTATTCCAACATGTCACCCCCAATGTGTTGGTAAGATTAAGATGGAAAATTAAAACATATTCAAAACACGTATTAACCAACCCCCAAACAGATAGAAAAGTAAACTTTGACTGAAATAACGATAATGAAATCTATTTAATGTGACTTCAAGGCTGCACTCATCAGCCCCTTTCGGGCACAATCTTTTCTTCCATGCAGGGACTGTATGTATAGCAATGACGACCAGCATCGAATCTTTCGAAGCTCAAGGATTTGAAATTCATTCCTCACAGCGCGCTATTGAGATGCCAATGCATCCCTTTCCGCCAGGTACCCTTAGGGTGGGTCTGGGGTGCGTCTGCACGTGGGGAGCGAAAAAACAACAAAAGTATTGAATTCATTCCGCAACTGTCACATAAAGACGGACTTCACGAAAAATTCTCATTTAATGTGGCTTCAAGGCTGCACTCATCAGCCCCTTTCGGGCACAATCTTTTCTTCCATGCAGGGACTGTATGTATAGCAATGACGACCAGCATCGAATCTTTCGAAGCTCAAGGATTTGAAATTCATTCCTCACAGCGCGCTATTGAGATGCCAATGCATCCCTTTCCACTCCCACCAAACCACTGGTAAGTTACGCTTGCAGAAATAAATGCGCCTCTACTTGAGCTAAAACTTGAGGTGTCAAACGCCTCATGTCTACAGAAAACTTGTTGTGCTGGTACATATAGTCATAGCACGGCCATGCTTTCGAGGCAAAAGAACCCCATCGCAGAATACGTATCCAGTCACCAGCATGAAGTTGCTGCTTGGCACGGATCATAGCAACCTCACCTCGCCGAATGTAATCTCTGGCAGCCTTGTCGCTCAACCATCGGCCATAGAGTAGAATGTCTGATAAGGCCATTCCTTGCCTCGAAAGTTCTGAGGCTCCAGATCTACGAAAGGAATGTGTGGTAAGGTGTAAATTGCCCAACCCTAAAAGTTCAGCAACACGCCTCACACCTCGCAGAGCAGAACTATAGGACAACTTCAAGAAGGAATCATGCCCATGTCGAGATGGAAAACGCAAAGCATATTGAGCTATCCATGCACAAACTGCTACATTGTTGAGGACAACACGCTGCTCCATGCCGCGCTTAGTTCGACCCAGACATAGAGTGACACACCCATGGTCTACAATGACATCATCCCAGGTCAGATTGAGGGCCTCGCGAACTCGCAACAAACCAACATAGCAAAGTAACATAGCACATGCCAGATGAGGACGATTCAGGAGTAAAGCCATGGAAATCAATGCGTGTATCACTTCTGGTGGTGCGGCTGGAGCTTGTTTGACTGGCACCTGCTGTTGCCAGGCATCCAAAACCTTCCAGGATGTTTTTAAGCATGATCTAGGAAAAATCTTTTGCAGAGCGGACAATGCCCAAGCGGATTCTGTCTTTCCTAAGCCAGACTCGTAACAATCCAAGAGCCACTCTGCAACAAACATATCTTGCTGCAAATCGCTCATATCCGCCCATCTTCGGTTATGCTGTTCCAATTCATTGTTGAGCCGATTGATGGCCCCCAAATATTTTGAAACTGTTGATGGCCTCAAGCTCCCCAGTAAGAAATGCTGGACGCGGTTCAGGCCATCCCCACCGAACATCTACTGACTGAGACCACGGCTCATATGCTGAGCAGTCAGCAGTACGATGTGGAGCAAAAGGAAATATGTACCCTCTTTTTCGAATTTCCACCAACCGAGACACAAAAAGTCTACTAATGGACTGGCAGAACTCCTTGGGATATCGTGCTGCAGGTGTGGTTTTGCAATTTCCGTCCGGCAATCTCCCAATCAAAGGATCATGGCCCCAGCGATGATTGCAAAACTTCTGAATAGCACCACAACCAAAAGGTAACAGCAACCCCGTAGGTTTTGTAGAATCAGCCCCAAAACGGCATTGATGCGAGACATAATAGGCCATCCCAAAGACTTGTTTGAACAACTTCACTTCAGGGGTATGAAAGAACGATGTGAAAGGTTCCCTCATTCGATCAGCAGGATGCTCCAAGCCTACCCAGCCCCCTTGAAACGCAATCTCCCCCAACAATCCAATGCAGATCAAAAATAAAGCGTTGCCAATGTTGACAGCATGTTTTTCTTTGTCAGTGCAATACTGTAGCGGATCCCACGGTTGATCCCGAGACCTGAGTGGCCTAGGGCCGCCGCGTCCCACCAGTGGAACATGTCGAGCTGCTGACACTGTGCTACGTGGAGGGGACCCAAACCCACCAATGACTCGCTTGTTGTGAATCAAATCCAACAATAGCAAACCACATGAAGTAGACAATAAGTCTCCCCTACATGTTGTACCAGCGTGAAATTGCGCCAAGGGATCTATGCGTAGAGCTCGAATCTTAATACCATGCTGTGACGTGAGGGTTTCAATGCAATCTGCCAAATCACCGGAACATTCAGGCCCTGAACAAAACTGGATAAAATAGTACATGTCACCATCATCCACATGCAAGAGCTCCCTCAGATCCAGCACCGGCTCGGCACTATCCAACTCAGCCGGAAGAGGCCCAACCTTGGAAGAAGTCTCGAACCACCGAGAAGGTGGGTCAGAAGGGTTCTCGGCTGAAGGGGTCCATGCATAAAAACCATCAGAATTACCAGCAATATTCGTTGCAGCTACCCTTCGACACCTGGCATTGATTAACCAAGAGGACGAGCGCCCTTTCGACAAGGCCCCCACCATGGCCGCACTGTCAAGGATTTGCACGTACCTTTCACGGTGCAGCGATGTATTGTGTTTCAATCGATCATCAATGCTCCAGGCAGCTGCATCTGATTCACCAAGAGTAATATGCTCAGGGGACCAGGGTATTCCTATCTCCTTCCATTTAACCCTGGCTACAGGCAGTCTAACCTTCCGCTAGGGACACTTATGCTTTTCATTGAGGCCAATGCCCCACGGGAGTTTCAAATTGGTGTAAACATTAGGGTGATCACAAAACCTTGCAATTGTTTGCACCACGTGCCTCGGCAAAATGCCAATGGCTCTGCCCAAGCCTGTCATCGATGCATCCGATGCTTCGACCCGGGGTGACCACTCGGCCGATAGATTGAATTGCGCAAAAGGAAGCAATAAGGTTGAAATCATCAGTTCTAACCAAACCTCCCCTGGCAGCTCCACCAATTCCCTGCCATGGCCACGCCTCACCATTCGTTGCTCCGTGAGCCAAACATAGGTCTGCTCAAAGATTCACCTCATGCACGGTCGAGCTGAATGAACAAACCCATGCTTACCGATCAGCCGCTCGGCAACACCAAATGGAATCCGGCGTTGCAAGAGAGCATGAATGGAGCCCTGAAATAGGTGACGTCGTTTTTCATGAGATAGTCCTACCCAATGCCCATGTGGATGAACATAAAAGCCCTGGATCTCTTCCCCCAATGCACCGTCAACTGTCTTCTTGACGTTTGGCTTGACCCCACGGCACACCCATGCGGCTTCAGCTGACTTCAGCCAGTCTGGCCCGACTGTAGCTTGCCCCCCTTCATCAACATGTTCCAAAGCCCAAATATCATCAATAATGGAGCCCCAGAGTGGAAAAGTTGAGGGAACTACAAAATCAGGATGAACCCGATGGGATTGAGGTAAACCAGCATCAGTTGTAACCGTATCAGTTAACCCTTGCGCCCAACCAGCAGAAGGACCGAACCCCATTGGAGTTGATTGACAGGCAGGATAAATGACTGAGCTGCCCCCACTTTTCTTGGTCATCTCAATTGGTGGACCACAAAGCCAACGTTGCCATCGCCTTCCTACGCGCAGCCGATGGAAGTAATGGCGAGCATCCCTCTTCGACACGGCTATCACTCCAGAGGATGGTACCGAAACGGCCCGCAACTTTGGGATGTATGCAAATTTGGGTCTAGGAAGCTTATCAGGATCAAGGAGTTGATTGACGCTGGGATCAGTAATGACCCGATCTTCATGCTGATCTTTGGCCACTGCAAAAGCCCCCGCCAAACATTTGACCCCCCTATGCTTCGCTACTTGATGAGGTTTCTTGGGTTTGTGAAGCCCGGCCTTGATGTTGCGTTTCACCAACTCAGGATACGTGGGGCCCAGCCAGGTGTAGCCACGCTTGACCCGTCTGGGCCTCCGTGATGAAGGCAGCAGCAGTGCATCTGGTTGAACAACCTGCTTAGCCAACAAGGGATAATGTTCCTCCAAATGTGATGCCAATGGAACATCGGCAGCTGTATCGGGAACACCTCCACGCGTCCCAAGTGCTAACACCACACCCGAACCAGTGTAGAGTTGGGTCTGTCGCAAAAACTGATCAACTCCTTGAGGAGTCAATGTAGGCTCATCAGTCAACACCTGAGCCAGAAGCCCATCCACCACACGCGAATGGACCCTCCTGTGCGCAGAGGACAGCACATCACGGGTGTCCCTGCCACCATGCATCCAATTAAGCACATCCAGAATCAGGTTGCCTCCATGGAAAATCAGTGACGTCTGCATATCTCTCGAATCAGCATCCGACACCAGCTTGCCATCCACCGTCATGGGGGGAAGAGGAAATACTGACTCTGGCGACCAACCAGCCTTCCCATTGAAAGACTTTTCAAATTCACGCTTGCCTCTGAGCGCACCCAGCTTTGCAAAAACAGATTGAGGAGAATCACCATGCAAAGTCCACCCAAATTGATCCAAACATATCCGGAGAGCCCTCACAGACCGTAGGAAAAAACTGTCAAACCCTTCTGGTGAACCCCTCGCTCCACCCATGCGAGACCAAGCAGCCCAGAACCTCCTGCGCCTCATGCGTTGGTGAGAGCAAGCATCGATGATGGAGCGAGGGACTTCTGTGTATTCACAAGCTCCAAGTTCTCTGCCTCCGCCCAACTGCCTCCCTTTCCCTTTGCTGACTGGATCGCCAAAATTCTTTGGCATAGCAGCACATCCAAGGCTCGAGAAATCTCGCGACGATTCACGTGGTCCAAGATCTCTGCAAGGGTGACCACTTCCTTCATATCCCTGACTTCCGTGAGGCCAGCAAACTGATGGGCCCATGCTGTCACCGACACATCCCGAAGTTGAAATGATCGGGAAATGGTCCCCTTTGACAACCTGGCATACACTCCAGCCAAGAAATGAGCCGTCAGGGCCCCAGGATGGCGAGCCGCAAAGTTGATGAGGTCGCCCTTCTTCTTGAACCTGAGCTGCTCCACATGACTGAGGTGTGAGAAGCTCACGCCTTTGTCCTTTCCAGACTCTTTCCACACCAGAGGCTTCTTGCTCCTGGAACTGGAGCTCGAGGTTCTCGATCGGGAACGGCTCGTGGAGTAGCTTGAAGAGGTTGAGCTTGAAGACTTGCGACTTTTCTTGCTTTTCTTCTTCTTCTTCTTTGATTTCTTGTGGTCCCTGGACCGCTTGCGATCCTTCTTGGAACTCTTCCGGAATCGATCCCTCTTCTTCTCCTTCTTGTCGGTAATGGCCAGGGCCTGAAGCTGCTGGACAGCAGCCTCTAAAGCCTTGATTTCGGCTGCTGAAGGGCTTGCTTCTCCTCCACCTAATCCCAGCCCTGCAGCCCCTTGGTTTTGTCCTCCGCCTTGGACTCCAGCTCCACCTGGCCCCATCACACCTTGAGAACCGAGGGCAAAAGGCACCAACGGTCCGCCGACCCCAGCTGTGTTCACGACTACGCTTCCTGGGTTGGCTGAAAGATGATTGCAAATCAGCCCGGCTTCCTGAGTGAGTCCTACTATCTCCGGGGGGAGCATAGATCCAGTTGATACTGTTGGCATCCAATCCAGCTGGTGCCCTTCGAGATCCGTCCGGTGCTACCATGGGAGCCTTCACACGCAGAGGGGCCAATTTCACGACCACCCACACCCAATCTCCTCCAGCAGCATCCGTAGTTCGACAGACCGCATCTCCGGGTTGTCGTGTAACTGGCCAACCATACCTCGTCCCAGTCTGGTGGACGTGTTATCAACAGGAAAGAACCCACAGGAAACGGAGGAGCTCCACCGCCTCCACCCGCCGCCGGCGCAATGGCGGCTGCCATGCAGGTAAGGTCTGGACCCCGTTCTGTTCGTGGCAGCTGCTGATGCGTAGGTGATGCCAAGTTCCCAAAGCCAGGAAACCCGACGCCACCCAGCCAGATGAAAGCAAGATAGATCCAATGCAGAATAAAAAGAATCAAAGTAATCAGGTACCAGGCCAAAGCTCGAATTTCCCACCGAAGTTCCCAGGCTAAGATCAAACCAGTCAATTGCCACAAGCTATGAACGGTATCTCGCACTAAATGAAAATCGGCAATCTCACTATGACCCAGAAGCAATTGATTGACACCCGGCACCAAAGTAAAGGATCCCACTTGCGCTGTCCAGCTATGCAACCACCACCCAAATCCAGACGCGGCACCCGCAGCTATGGGAATGAGGCCACGCATCCGAGGTCTAGTAGAGGTGCTTGAGCGAAAAAACAACAAAAGTATTGAATTCATTCCGCGACTGTCACATAAAGACGGGCGTCAAGAAAGATTCTCATGTATATAACCTTTTCTGCATCTTCTTAACCTGGTTGGTGGTTCAACCCCTCTCAAAAATATTAGTCAGTTGGGATGATTATTCCCAATATATGGAAAAATAAAACATGTTCCAAACCACCAAGCAGTAACGGATACTGCAAAGCACACGTATTCCCATTGTATCCCTACTAAAAAAACATCCCTTTTTTCTACCCTCCAGATTTTTTTTATCCCATTACAACACCATTTTTGTTGATTAATGATGGTTAATATCCATTAATCATTGGATTGGTTTAAGGGAAAATCTACAGGAAACCATGGTTTTTACCATCAAATATAGGGCTTTCCTGTAAATTTTCCCATCATCCAATTCTATGAATTAACTTTCATGAGATCTGGAAGCACCCAGCCAGGCCAGGTGAAATTCCCCTCGCTGTCGCAGAGTCGCACCTGTAAGCCTGGACCTGTCGAGTACTGCAGCGTCACCAAGCCATAGTCCTTGGGTCCAAAGATTTCAGAAAGCTATAGAGAAACGCTATGAAAAAGGTATGAAAAGGTGCAAGCTAAACCTTCGAACTAGATAAACTATGATAAACTTTGTGTCGTATATAGATGGGATTGGATTGTCCTGGATTTTCCATATTCGGCATCTTTTTGGAGTTGTGCTGTACCCTTAAAATCACGCAACATCTCCATTTTATCGGGGTGAGGGGGTACTCGTTTTCAGGAAAACCCCTCTGGAAGAACTTCTCAGTTCATCTGAATGTTTGGGTTGGATACATATGCATCTTGCGACCTGGGGATGTGGAGAGTGGTGAAGGCGTTGTCGATCCATTGAGTGGGAGTGAGGCAACTTCTTCAACAGTGAAGGGGCCCGCAGGCGCCCCAGAAACATCATTTCTTGACAGAATGTCTTTCTGCTAAACGAGGATGCTGAGCTCCCCCATTTGTTTTCAACGGATTCCCCAAAGATATTCTTTAGGACCTTAGGACCTTTAGGAGGGAATTCCATCATGTACTGCACTTCTACATTGATTGCAGCAACTTTAAAACCTGAAACAATGCATAGGGATGGAATCTTTTTGTGCTGCAAAATCTCGGTGTTCATGGCTTTACAAATGATCAGAGACAGGACATTGTAGCCCCAAAACCAGCTGCTAAAGATTTCTCAGCTGATCTTGGACTGAAGAGCTGTAACCACCAGAGTCTCGAAAGCCCCATGTCACGACAGATCCATCTGCCAGGATGGCAGCAAATGCATACCATATGGCCTGAACCTGCTCCACATTCTTGAGCTGATCTTGGACTGAAGAGCTGTCACCACCATGACTTGGACTGCCCCATGTCACGACAGATCCATCTGCCAGGATCGCCGCAAATGCTTCGCTTGTGGCCTGAACCTGCTGTACATTCTTGAGCTGATCTTGGACTGAAGAGCTGTCACCACCGTGTCCTCGATCGCCCCATGTCACGACAGATCCATCTGCCAGGATCGCAGCAAATGCTTGGGGTGTGGCCTGAACCTGCTGTACATTCTTGAGCTGATCTTGGACTGAAGAGCTGTCACCACCATTACTTGGACTGCCCCATGGCACGACAGATCCATCTGCCAGGATGGCAGCAAATGCATACCATGTGGCCTGAACCTGCTGCGCATTCTTGAGCTGATCTTGGACTGAAGAGCTGTCACCACCAGAGTCTCGATCGCCCCATGTCACGACAGATCCATCTGCCAGGATCGCAGCAAATGCTTGGCGTGTGGCCGGAACCTGCTGTACATTCTTGAGCTGATCTTGGACTGAAGAGCTGTCACCACCATTACTTGGACTGCCCCATGTCACGACAGATCCATCTGCCAGGATCGCCGCAAATGCTTCGCGTGTGGCCTGAACCTGCTGTACATTCTTGAGCTGATCTTGGACTGAAGAGCTGTCACCACCGTATCCTCGATAGCCCCATGTCACGACAGATCCATCTGCCAGGATCGCAGCAAATGCTTCGCTTGTGGCCTGAACCTGCTGTACATTCTTGAGCTGATCTTGGACTGAAGAGCTGTCACCACCGTGTCCTCGATCGCCCCATGTCACGACAGATCCATCTGCCAGGATCGCAGCAAATGCTTGGCGTGTGGCCGGAACCTGCTGTACATTCTTGAGCTGATCTTGGACTGAAGAGCTGTCACCACCACAATTTGGGTCGCCCCATGCGGCAACACTGTCCCCTCCCAAACACCACAGAGCGAAGGCTTTCTGTGTTGCTGCTACTTTCACTTGAGGCACAACTGCGGTGAGGATGTCTTTGTCCTTGAGCCCTGCATCTCTCAAAGATGCTGCTAGATCAGTCA